ACACCCCACCACCACATCAGCTCGCGGGTGATGCTGATCCCCGTCTTCTCCATGCACTTGATCTTCCGCAGCTCGGTCTGGTCAGTGATCACGTAGGAGGCTGCGGAGACGGGACGGCTTTGTTAGCAAGGGGAGAGAGCGAGGGCAGGCAGGGCAGGCACGGTGCGCTGCGTACACAGAAAGCTTTCATTCGGCTTTAAAAGCAGGGACCGCCACACGTTAGCTACGTGGACGTGAAGAAATTCCAGTTCCTGGAAGCAGGGTATTATTTCTATTCTTTCAAACGTTCAAAAAAAAAGTTTGTTATGCGGAGACCCAAAAAGAAACCGCTCTCAGCCTGCTCAGCGCGCCGTCACCGTCCCCCGACCGCCTTCACCTGCACGCCGCGCGCCGCTCGGCTCCGGTTACCTTCCCGTCGTGGCAGCGGACGGCAACGGCTGGACGGGAGGGGCCGCGCGGGCGGCGGCGGGGATCGGCAGCGGGGGGCATCGTGTCATCACCGGCGGGCACCGGGCGGCTCTGCGGGGGACGCGGAGCGGACGCGGCGGAGGCCGGGAGACGCGGAACGGGGTGGTGAGGGAGAAGGGCGGCGTGGGGCCCGAGAGCGGCGGGGGGAGCCGGGGAGCCGCGCTCACCGAAGCGCATCCAGTCGCCGTCGCTGAGGCAGTCCATCTTCTGGCAGAAGTCCTCCAGCACCCAGGCCGGCATGCTGTGCACGTAGGGCGACGGCGGCGCCATCTCCTCGCGGCACCCCGGTCCGCCCGCGGCCATCAGCTGCCGCGCGTGGCCCCACTGAGCGCCGCCGGGCGGGGCACCCCGCGCTTCCTCCTGCCGCGGGGGCGCGGCTTCCTGGGGCTGCGCGGGGCGGAGAGGCGGATCGGAGCCGCGGGAGCGACGCCGTTACGAGCTCCGCTCCGCCGGGCGGCTCCTTGCGCCGCGCCTCGGGAATCGCGAACCTCGCGGTGCCACGAACGCGTCCGCTTCCCGCCCCGCGCCGGGGAACCGCTGAAACCGCGGCCGAAACGTCAAGTAAACAAACCCACGGCGTGCCGTTACTTAAAGTACCGCATCGTAAGGACGCTCTGTGTGCCGCCGTTTGGGCCGTAGCGAGAGCTGTACCGCCAGCCACGGCTGCCCGCACAGCCGGCCCTGCCCCGAGGCAGCCGGGCTGCTCCCTGCACCAGGAACAGCGCAGAACTGTTCACCACAAGGGTGAATGAAGGTCCGTGATGCATGCATCGTTGTTTAGAACGGCACCTGTCCGTGTTTGTGACTTCGCTTTGGCTCTGACTGCTGTATGTAGTTAGAAGTTTCACATGGGAACTGAAAATCACTTTTTCAAACTGAGACACAAACAATTCTACACAGCCTTCACCTTCAAGTAACAGTAGCAGACAGGAGCTGTGTGCCTGTGCCCATGTCCCAGCTCCTGCAACCGCAGCTCCACTCATTGCCCCGCAGCAGCACTAAATGGGGTTCTGCTCCTGACTGCCTCCAGTTACTGCTCCCCGCAGCTCTCACAGGAGCAGTGCAGTGAATCCAACTGAGCTCAATCCCACGGCATCCACGAGTGGCATTTCAGGAACATGAGCAAATGTGCCATTGCAACCACTGCATAGTTACCTGACAGCATTAGAATCAAAGAGTTAACATGGATTTACGTTTTAATGAGAAAGATCAGTTCATACACAAACATTTAAGAAAAAACAAGTCCACAAGAAGGGCAGCCATTGCATACTTAAGAACCTCAAGCCACAGAACAGCCTGCTGCTATCTGTTAGCAACCTGCTGCTCTGCACACTGAGCAGCACTGCGCCTGCCTGGGGAACAATTCACCTATCTGCTAAAAACAATCTGCTTTGAGTTACGCAGAGACATACAGACACACAGCTGTGTATTTGAGGTATGGGGAAGAGAACATACAGGCCAAGATCCTTTCTCTCTGTGCAGCTGGCCTGCTGAAAAGCACAGCTCTGCTTCGGGGAGCTAGGCCTGCAGCTGGGGCAGCTTCTGTGCTTCAGGGGGCACCAGCAGCCCAGATGGACCATGCTCCTCAAGGCCAATCCCTGGGACAAGGGAAAGGTGGGGCACAGAGCACCCACCTTGTGGGAATGCTCCTGGTATACCAGTATGGGAGCTGAGGGTGTGGGCACAGAGACGCAGAGCAGAAAGGGCTCCCAAAACCAAGATGCAGTCTGTATGGCTGACAAAGTTCCATCATCTAGAGATAAACGAAGCAGTAATTCGGTAAAGAAGGACAAATTAAGGCATTCAAGGCATGTTCTGTGTAAAAACTCGTTAGCTTCAGAGTTGCTACAATGAGGGTTTATGAACACACAGAGACAGAGGCTAACACAGAAATGCTTAGGTCATCTTTCTTTCAGAAGTTTTGTTGGGCCCAGTGCTCAGAAGGCAACTGTGGAAGCTCTCACATGAACACCCCCTACAATTTGTGATTTGAAAGTAAATTCAGCATGTGAGAGAGCAAATTCCCACCAAAACCAAATCATTCAAGCAAACCTGGTGCTGCTTTGCCACTGATTTTAGAGTCTGGATTAAGTCAATCCTTGGCATAACTTTCTAACACAGAGGAAGTTGAGCTGCACGCACTTCCTCCAGACAGATACCCCAATCTCGTGTTACTATGGAATGTTCTGAAATAGTCCGAAGCAAACTCCTCTGAGCCCCATCTGTGCCAGGCCACTGCGGTCCCTGCTCAGCAATGCATGAAACCCGGAGCAGAGCCCTCACAAAGGAGAACATTCCCGCACTGTCTGCTCTCTGGAATCTGACCTACCAGCACAGCAAATGTTCTATAGTACGGCTGAGTTTGTTCCAGAACTTCAGTGCAGACGTTAGCTCTGGGCACACTTTACAGTGGCTGTTCCTCCTAAGCTCGGTGCTTCGCTATCTACACGGCTCAGGACGCGCAGCCCTTTTAGTGGAGGCCTTCCTCCAGTAACATCTCGCTTCTCTCCACGGAGAGCCGCTGCAGGTCCTTCTTGACGTCGGGGTGATCCTCCAGCTCCTCGTACAGCGAGCGCACGATGTCCAGCTTGCGGTAATCCCCCGGCCGGACCAGGCTGCGCACCACCTGCAGGCAGCGCTCCTTCAGCGTGAACACTGCGGGGAAACAGAGCGAGCGGGCAGCCTGGCAGCGGCGGCCGGGCACCGCACTGCGAAGGGTGCCGCCCGGGACGGGAGGGCAAACGAACCCGGCAGCGTGACTCAGAACGCGCGAGGCCGCTCCGAAAGTACCGCGTCCTTCCCATCTCCGCGTTAAGTACGGCGGACAGAAGGATCGCGGGAACGCCGGTGGGCGGAGCGCCTCTCAGCTACAAAACGTCACTTTTGGATGCGGCCACCAGCGCGAGCCGCGCGTTTTCTCCGGCGGCGAACGCGAGCCCGCACGCCGCGCTTCCCCCCAGCCCGCAGCGCCCCGCACCTGGAAGCGTAATGTCGGCCTCGCTGATGTCAGGCGCGGCCACGAACAGCTCCTGCCGGTTGACGAGCAGCCCGTCGTGCGTGCCCGCGTCGCGGAACAGCCACAGGTGCCCTGCGGGGAGCGACGCTCAGCCCCGCGGTGCATCGCGGCCCTCGCCGCGCCCCACCCGCCCCGCGGCTCCTCACCGCGGTAGCTGTGCATGATCCGCCCGGTGCGCGGCCGCAGCACGGGGTAGTAGCGCGGCCGGCCCTCGAAGTCCACCCAGATGGGGAGCACGGCGCGCGGGCTGCGGTTGTTGAAGACGACCTCGGAGAGCTCGCGCGTGTTGGCGGAGCGCAGGCACGGCGCGGAGGGAGCCGGCGGCGCCATCCCGGCTGCGGGGCCCCGCCGCGCCAACGCGCCTGCGCGGAAGCGACCGGAGACTGGCGGGGCGCCGCGCATGCGCAGCGCGACACGCGACGTGATGATGGGACGCGGCGACGCAGCAACGCAAGGACGTAACGACGTAACGCCGCGTCCCGCAGCTGCGCGAACCGCCGCTTGCAGGGCAGGGCGTCGCCTGCGGGGCCGGGCGGACGGCTGGTGTTGGCCTCATCTGAGGTGAGAAGAACGCGAACTGCAGCGCACAGCGGGCGCAGAACAGAACGCTGCCCGGACTTCGTGCCTCTACAGAACTAAGAACCTTTAACGCTCCTTAATCCGCCTCTGAGCACATTAGTGTGATCTTGAATACACTGTAATGAAACGACAAGCTGGTAATTAGTGTTTCTGCTCTTCAAGAGCTGAGTAATCAGTCTGAGAAATCGCGGTATAGTGGAGAAGAAAAGAGATTTTCAACTTCCATTAATTGAACGAACTGTATTCTTTAAGTAGGCAGCACTCCTACAGCAGCTCCAGTCAGCTCGTAAATCCAAACGTACCACCTCCCTCAGTGCCAACACAGACACCAAAACACAAACTTGTAGGTAAAGCTGCTGGAAGCGTCTCTGCTCTCGAACAGAAACCACAACTGCTGTGCTAAGGCAGCACGGGGCATCGCCCTCACCCACAGCAGGACCCCAACACAGCGGTGAGGCAGCACAGCTCTCTGAGCACTGAGTTGAGGTACAACTTAAGACATCAAACAGCAGCACCAGCACACTGCTCAGCGTTTTCTCACCCAAGTATCAAACATCTCAATTTACATTTGGGCAATAGTACAAACTTCAAACTTTCAGTTTGGAAAAGTCCTACAGCAAAGAGGTACTACCTCTAAACCCTTTGAAGTGACTAACACTAAGACTGGCATTTTAAGATATGATTTCTACAGTTCAGGGGGAAAATTAGCAGCTAATTGGCTCCAAAAATGCTTCAACATGTTTTCTACTATAAGCAGAGGAAACAAGCATTTAACTGAGAAATACAACAGACGTAGTAGAAAAGACTCAGGCAAAGGAGAGCATTACTAAACCACTACTGACTTTCAGTTTGGGTGGCAGGGTGAAAAGAGAGAATTTAAGTCACATTCAGAACACAGTACAACGGGGAGCTCTCAGGTTGGTCCCTGGTCCATTGCTCACATTAAGCAGTTCTCACATTTATTGCCTTCTGCTTAGGAACAGAGACACACACTCTCAGCTGTTTCCTTCACCAGTCTGCTCATCTGGAAGTTCTGGAGGTGTCTGCTGTCTTCTTCCACACAGGCTATTACCAGAATGACCTTTTTTCTTCCACTCTTTCCCAGGTGCGTTTCAGAAGATACACTGCAGCATGAAGCCCCCCTACATTCACCCACACCGTGTGATTTTTGCGCCAGATGTGTCCCAGTCTTGACAAGGCCTACGATAGAAAAAAAACACAAAGAACAGCCCCAAGAGTGGTGGTGGCTTCTTCAGGACAAGGATGTAAGGATAAATTTGCTTTAGATGTTATTCCTGACTATCCCAAATCACACCTGAATAAGGTCTAAAACCACATTAAAATGCTGCTATTTATCTCTTCAGAAAAACATCACCCTCCATAGTGAAGTCAGCTTAAAGTTTTTTTCCTCAGTAGATTTTTCCTCTGCAAATAGGTTTGTTTTACTTCTAAGGTTTCACTCAGAACATACCTTGGCGAAGCATTTCTTGTCCTGAGTAAGCAGCACAGCTCTACCTGTGCCTGGTGTGCAGATCCGCCCCATCTCCATGAGACAGGCTGGATAGAGATCCCAGTTCTTCTTCTTTGACCCTATCCTATAACACAGATCAAGATCTCCTTTGTGACTGTTGAAAAATGTATGTATGACCACATAAACCTTCAGCCTTCATTCTGAATGCAAAGTATTTACATACTTCTCAATTAGGCCCAGTTAAGTTACAAGAGAACCCTAAATCTGGGCACACGAGCACACGTGGCAGTGATGGTCACACACAAGAACTTGGAATTCGTGGTCCCTCACCTCTTCCCAAAAGGCATGTCTGTCACAATGACATCCACAGAGCCAGTCCGCAAAGGGAGATTGCAAATATCCCACTGAACGATGTCCAAGGGTGCAGCCAAGGAAGCACTGCTACAAAAGCAAAGACCTCAGATATGGGCTACTGAAAATATTTTGCAGTGAAGAACTCTATAACAGTAACACAGTAGGGAAAAGGTCAAGAAAATCTGTGCAAGACAGATTTATTCCTATAAAGCCTATGGGAAAATAAAATCACTTGTACTGCTCTTACCTTTCCTTATTTTCATTTTTCTTTAGCAAAGAGCAGATGTTGCTCGCTGCTCTCTTTACAGCTTGCGGGTTGTTATCACCAGCAATGTGATAGCAGCCAGGCCATTCCATAGCTCCCTGGGGGGAAATACTGATAAACATTAATGTGAACACTGCTTGCTTTTTGAAACAACCCCCCTCCAAAAAAACCCCACCAGAATACGACAAAGCAATCTGAAGCAGATGTCAGTGATTTTAAAACTCCGTAACGGATGTGTCACAGGCCTTAGGCAACTTAACGGCTCAAAGTTCTTTTAGGTTTTGCTTCTTCTTGTTATTGGAAAGGAAACTAAAGGCATTTAGTAAAAGCGTGCTTGGAGCTGTTGAGAAGTTGGTGAGATGCTTCTGTTGTTGGCTGCTCAGTTACTGCCATTAAAACTTACGTGTTACTCAGTTGCAGATACTGTCTTGAGTTTTACTACATTAAAAAGAAAGGAAGAATCACCTCTATGGGTATTGCACCTGTACCACACATTGGATCAATGATGATATCTGTCGGCTGGGGATCGCAGAGCCTGAGGAGCAGAAAAAAAAGGTACTTTGAGAAAAAAGCATGTGAATTTCTTGTACCAATGGAAAACAGAACTGTTTTGATCACAGCAATTGAGCCCTTCTAATACAAGACGTGAACATTAACTGCATTTAACAACCAGCACTTATACATGCCAGTCCAGTGAAATTCTTTCAAGAATTGTCATCTAGTATTTTGAAAACTGGCTAATGGTTTGCAGCAAGTATTTTCTTTTCTAAGCTGGAAAGCATCCAGTGTTGCTATGTCTTTATTCCCTTTTAACAGGAACCAACAAAAATGGCTTCTAAGGAAGCAGCGGAGGGGATAAGGCAACTCGTTTGTGAAGCAGAGTGACTTATTATCTAAGAATCATATAAAGCCATGTGTTTGCACTGACCTAAGCATGCCATAAGCAAGAGTTGAGCGAAGAGTTGTGGGTCCAAAATGTGTAATATTTCTTCTGTGAAGACTCTCCTCAGTTAACGCAATGCCCACAACTACTTCATTATTGTGAATATTCAGGAGAACCTAAAGAAAAACTGGAACTGAATTTCAGAAGTAACACAAGTTTCCCACAGTACATCTGGTAAATGTTTAAACCAGCAGCTGTGATTTATACAAAGTCAGGAAATACATTTATAAGAGCACCATCCACTGCCTTTAATGAGGACACAGTCAGGACAGCGTGGGTGTTTTTTCACTTGCACAAAAAGCACTCTGTGACGATGTTTAAAGAGCTTTGCTTTATATTTACTGGGGAGAAGTAAGGATAAGTCCTGCAAGTCACAGTGCAGCATTCACAAAGCAAACAGAATTTGCAATAGAAACCCCACGCCTGGTCCCCTATGCAGTGTGAATCTGGAAGGTGAAGACACCATTACAAGAAAGGGGGTCAGCCCTGAAAAGAATCTGCAAGAAAATCATTTCGCCTTATTGCCTCTCAAAATGAAAATTTTAATGGACCATATCTGCTGGACCTCCTTTCCAAATTTCTGCTTTCCCCATGAAAAGGGAAAAAGCAGTGGACAACTAACATAACCCTTTTTGTTCCCTGTAACCATGTGAGCAAATAATGTAAGAGGAGGTAAAACTCAGTATAAAACCATCCGGTGTAGCTCAGAGAGGAGAACTTTTGAGCACTGACTCAGCTGCCCTGAGCTTAGTGATGCTAATGGCTTATCTTGAGTGCGTGCAGAGCAAACAGGAGCATGAAATTGAGAGGTGCCCTCAGGGGGTCACAAAAGGGATGAGGGACAAGCAAGCAGTGGGGTGTGAGGATATACGTAACATGGCCATGAAATTAATGCTTCTGATTTCAGCATTAATGACTTCCAGCTTCAGAACGACCTTGTAAAGGTTACTTTGGAGCTCTCTGAGAATCAAAACTAAGAATCAATTTTTGAAATAGAATTATTGCAAGGCACAAGGCAATACCTCCACATCAAAGTTAGTCATGTCAGCCTTCCACTGGAAGTGCTCCTGCACAGCTCCTCCGAAGTCTCTTGCGGCCTCGTTTGATGTAAAGCTGTGCTTGTCTCCGGCTCTATTGCACGTAACGCGGAACTTTAACACCTTCGCATCTCCTTCATCTTTCCTATCATCTCCAGCCTTCGTCTCAGCCCCAGAACTGGCACGCAGCTCGTTTTTAGCCTCTGACTGCTCGTTATCCTCCTCCTCATTCTGCGAGGCCTCTCCTTGCGTTTCCTCCGCACTCTGGCCAACAGCCGGCTCTGTTCCCACCATGTTTGGGGCGCAGTCCTCCTGCCCCCCCACAGCTTTGTCACCCTTCTCCTCCTCTCCACCATCACGCAGCTTTTCTTTGCTTGCAGTTCTCTGCAGATTCTGCTTTTTGCGTTTTGTCTTTTTCTTTTTTAAGCTGTTGTTCAGCTCCCAAATTCTCAAAGGATCAGTCCAAGGCAGTTTTTTAACCAAACCTTCCAAATCTTTTAAAGCATCTTCCTTTAAAAGACAAAAGAAATTGTACTTCAAAGCCATTCCCTTTCTTGAAGAACGACCCTCTTTCTAAATCTCTTAAATTAGTCCATACATGCAATCGCTGCACATCTGATCACAGCTTGCACTTTTTGTGTGCAATTGGTGCCACATCTGGGTGGTGTTTTACACCACAGGATCCGGAACAAACAATCACGCATCACGGCTACCACTACATTAAGAGACCAAGAGAGATTTATTGTCCTCCATCCAAGGGTGACCTCCAAGCACACAGCTGCTCTCATTCTTGGTCTCCCACGAAGCAAACACAACAGAAGGGATTGGGGCAGACAACAAAACCACACTCCAGTTTTAAAACCCCACAAAGAACTGGGACAGCACTACAAGCGTTTTAAAAATCCTTACTCCTGAAATACTCAGAGCACTACAATGACAACGATTATCCAAACCCCGTAACTGAGGGAAAGCAGCGATTAACTCACCTTGGTTTCCTTAAACTGATAATCTTTGAACTCCTGAACGACAACAAACAAATTATCCACGGACCTCAGCCGATGGACCTGCAGCGAGGGAGAGCAGCGGCGCTCCGTTACCATCGGTTACAATGCGTCGGCACCTTACATCTACACCCGACCCGGCGCCGTGCCGCGGAGGTCACCGGTTTACGTGCAAAAGCAGTAAGAAAAGCCGGCCCGGGTCTGGCTGACTTCAGCCGCCTTTGTCAAAGCACGGCAAACCCGACGAACCAGCCGGCAGGACGGGCTGCCCTACGGCTGGCGGCAAGCCGAGAGCGCTCCGCTGCGGACGGGGCGCCGCTATGCCCACAACCGCCGGTGGCCGCAGCCGGCCGGAACGGCGCCGGGGTGCCGAGGGGGGCCGCGGTCGGCGCACGCACCTCGGGCAGGCAGCGGGCCGGCACCTCGAAGTAGATCTTCCCGCGGTCCCTGCTGATCCGGGACGCGGAGCCGAGCTTCTCCTGCACCTCGGCGGCCGCCGTCGCCTCGAACCCCGTGGGCACGGTGGCGCCGATAACGGCCGCGCCATCCCCGGCCGCCTCCGGCCCGGCCGCCTCCGCCATGCCCAAACGCCGGCGCGCGCCGCGGCCCGCCCAGCTTCCGCTTCCGCACCGGAGCCTCGCAGCAGCGCCCCCTGCGGTCCGGCGGTCCGGCCGCGCTCGGCGCTCCGTGTCTCGCGGCGGGCGGGAGGGCGGCGCGCTGCTGCCGTGCCCGGAGCGGAGCGGGCGGCGCTCGAGCGGCACCAGCGCGAGTGCGGCGCGTTTTTTCACTCCTTAAAGGAAAACCTTCCTGCGGTAATGATGAGCAGCCGGCGCTTCTGCGATGTCTTTGCCCAAGGACCTCCCGGGCTTTACGTCCGAGCGGCGGCGTGTGCTGGGGGCACGCGGTGACCTCGGGGCTCACCTGGCCTTCGGTCCCGCGTGTCTGAAAGGGCGGAGCCGTGCGGGATTGCACGGTCCCCGCTGGGGTCTCTGCGAGGAGAGCCTTGAGTGGAGAAGACGAGCATCCTCAGTGCTTGTGTAAGACTTTATAAATCAAACTCAGGGCCGACTCAAGTGATTGCCTGAAATATCCTTGAATGGAGGGAAACGTTTCAGCCATTATGGAAATGACTCTTTAGCAGAGAGGCTGAAAAGAAACCATAGCGACAATGTAAATTAGGTAGTGGGAAAGGAAAACATAAGCAGATGAGAGGTACTGACTTGAGTTAGAATCAGGACTCTCGAAAGTCAGCGCTGTTCTCTTTCTGAAATGACCAGATAATGACAACAGAGATGCTTGTGTATGGGAGAGGCATGCTGATAGCAGCATGTAAATAGCTGCCACTGCCACCACACTGTGTAAATCCTACCTGCATTCAGTGCAGATCTGCTCAGCGTGTTTATTTCCTCCAGCTCAGTGCTGCGTTCAGACTATTCCCAACCACGGGGTGTCTCCCAGCTGGCTCTGTCCTTGTACTCGTGTGTCACGCTGCAGGGCAGAGCAGGATTATCTCTTGCCTGTGGTGACCAAACATACCCAAATTAATGAACAGCAGAAACACAATGTCACATATTTTCTGATGGATATGAAAAAAATCACCCATCCATGTAAGAATGACAACGTTCCTATATTCTGCTTATCTAGCCGTAACTTATTTTGAGATACAATGTACATATTAGTAGAGTGAATTAATTTTTTAATCACCTCCTTAGGTTCCCTGTACAGCTTTTGAAGCTCATCTTAAGGTTGTCCTGGGTTCGCTGTGCTGATCACAACCAGCAGAAACTTCAGAAATGTTCTGCCTTGTTTACATCTCCTCCTGCATGCACAGAGCGTTCTCCCTCTGCCCAGCTCTTAGATCTCCGTATCACAGATCAAATCAGCTCACCATCAGTGAAAACCAGTGCACTGCAGACCACCAGTGAAGCCCTCTGCATGGAACCCGCATGTGGGCAGGAAACCACTGCATTGTTTTCATGACTGTTCAGAGAAACGCCAATGAAATGAATATTCTGCTAAATGTTACTTAAAGTGGATTCCCAGGGTGTTCAAGAGATTTTTAGAGACTTGTTTCACCCAGCAGTTAGAATGCAAAAAGAAAGGGTGGCTGAAGAGCTGTAGTCACAAGCTTCTCCCAGTGGCTGTTAGCACACATCCCACGCAGAACATCAGTGGCTGCTGCGCTGAGTGCTGCCAATCACCTCTAGAAACAAGCTAACTGAGGGGCACTGCTCTGTCTCTATCATTCTTTGCTGCTCCCATTCCTTCTGCAGTGGCACCAAACCTGCCTGGCATCCAGCTCTGTGTACAACCGTATGCATTGAGAAGAAATAGTTTGCTCTTCCAATATAGAAAGCTTCTGAGCAGCAGTGGAGGCATTTTGGTGAGCACGGCATGTCAGGTTTTGTGTTCTGTAACCTCTGTGAGAGAGCACAGCTTGTGGAGGCCTTTGGCTGATAACTTTACCGCTTCCTCCCCACGGCTCCTGCTGTGCGCCTTCCTGTTCTTAGTCCTGCTTTGCTTACTGCTGCACAGAAATGTTCCGTGGATTTAGGACAGAAATGAGATTACATTTGGGGATTTTTGTAGGAACCCTTTAACCTACAAACACCTACTGCTGGACAGCAGTCAAGTTTGCATGGAGATAACTTTGTAAACACACACATACAAGAATAAAATGAAAGCAAGAATGGAGGAGGTAGTTTACAATTTCAGATTCTTCACAGCATTTTAACCTCAGCTGTCAGACTGGTGTGTGCCTGGGCAGCCTGTGCTGTAAGCTGCAAGCCAGCCCTGGGCCTGTGGGCTTCAGCCCTGCTTGTCCTCCCTGCCGCCTAAGTGGGGAAAAGAGGCCACAGAGCTCGGAGCACACTTGCTGTTCCAGCCTGGAGCTCAGCTTTCTGGTCAGAAGTCTGCTTTGACAGCCACGCAACAGATTTTTCACAGTGCCTGCTGAGCTGGTTTGGGAAAGGAGTGGCACACATAAGCGCATATCTTGTGATAGGACACCCTGCAACAGGGTCTCTGAACAGGAGCATCCACGTACTGTTTCTCAAAACCCAAGGCATGCTTATGCAACGCTCCGTCCATCTGTTGTTGAGATCATCTTAATGGCTGTGACGGCTCCCCTGCCTGCAGCCAGGCAGAATGGAAGAGTCCCTCTGCATAAATTATCGCAAAACAAACCCAGGCTTCAGTACTGTCAGCAGAGGAGGTCGTTAAATTCCGCAGTGAATCTGCTGTGCCACTGTCAAGGCTTGCCTGTATTTGTGAGATGTTTTTTGCTAATGAGGAGAGTTTGTCTCCTGAGGAATTTTTAATTGAAACAGCAAAGCATCATCTGGTGGCTGCAGAGAGAAGCAGCTCCCAGTTCTGAGTGACCTGACCTTCCATCACCAGGCACAGCTCCTCCATGGGCACCACGTGCAGCTGGGACACAATCTGTTTTGGAGCTCCCTGCCTGCCTGCAGACGGAGTTACGCTGCCTGCAGCCCTGTGTGCAGGCTCAGGGTTCATCCAGCACCCTGTCCATCTGCTGTTTCCCACAGGAGAGCACTGGGGTCTCTGTTGGTACAGGCCCAAGTGCTGCTGGAATTGCAGGGACAAAGTGCTGGCAGGTCCCCTCAGGCCCTGCTGGGCGGTCTGTGTGAAGCCAGGGCTCGCTTCACCCCAGCGCCATGGGGAACCTCTACAAAGCACACGCTGCACGGCTTTCTGCAGCCCGCTGGTCCAGGTTGTTCCAAGCCCCAAGGAGATCTCAGAGCAGCACAAAGTGTCCCCACACGCACGCTGGATGTGCGCTCATTAACATGGCAGGCCGTGGCTGCGCTGCCCCGGCTGGCTGCAGCTCCATGGCGCTGTGCCTTCAGGCTGCCCCACAGCTTCAGGCCGGCTGGGCGCTGCTGCTGCTTTCCCACTGCCTGAGCATCCCCAGCTGCCTTCGCTGTGGTGGGGGAGGGCACATGTGCAATGAGACACTGCCTCCTGCTGCGGGGCCACCTCGAGGTGGCTTTTCAAGTCCTTCCTGTGGCCGAAGGCTTTTATGTGTGTTTCGGCTTCAGTCAGTGTTTCAAAGCGCATAGGCTACATTCATATGTTTCAAATAACATGACTTGGTCGGGGGACCACACACAGAAGGAGGGCTGCGGGATGAGACCATTTGCGTGGGCCAACGGATGATCGAAGGAAGCAGACCTTGCGCTTCCTCTCTTTTACTGAAGGAGAGTAGTTTAATTGGGGGGAACGGTGGTAATGGGAAGCTCAAATGAAGATGTGCTTGTCCCAGTTACTGCTGTTAAATTGCAGCCTCAGGCTGTTTGATGTGCTCACTGCAGCAGGCTGTGTATGTTCCCAAAGCTGGTGTCTGTTCAGTTCTCTTGAAGCAAAGTTTGAAGGCAAAATATCATCGATAGTGGGAGAAGAGGGGAATGCAGCTCACGGAACCTTTCTGCTCTGAGTTTCCCACAGCCTGCTGACCTCTAATAAGGAGCAGTGCTGACTGACACCTTTACAGCCACATCTTTGCAGTTCACTGCTAGATCCCCATGGGTTCCTGCAGCTCTGCTGTGGGATTCATGCTGTTGGGAACCTCAGCTGTCAGAGCCACTTCCTCCTGTGCTGTGTAACGGGGCACTGCGGTTTTCTCTGTCCTTTTCCTGATCATCTCTTGGCCACAGCTGCGTGGTCTGTGGACTCCCACAGTCCTGCCTGCCTGGCTTCCTAGCTCTGTTCAATGTTTTAATTAATGGTTTGGATGGTAGAACAGAGAAAAGGCTGTACTGAGCTTGTGGATAACACATAGCTTGAAGGGACTCCAGGAGCATTGGAGGAAAGGGCTGGGATTTAACATGAGCAGTAGAGGATGCTGGTATGCAATGACGAGCACCAAGCATGCTCTTCTTGAGCAACAAAATGCAGCTGCAGCAGCACGAGATGCCATGGGAGGCGGGCACAGCTGGGTGTGGGTGCACAGCATCATGTTGGGATGCCATGCATCACAGAAGGCACGCAGTGGTGGAGCCTGCCTGCTCCTGGGGGCTCTGGCAGGGCCGAGCTCACTTTTAGTGCTGCAAATTGTACGTCTGGAAAAAGGGAGAGTGTTCAGAGGTGAAAAAAGCGTGATCTAAAAATGACTTCTAGGAGGAACTGACCAAAAATTGAACTCTTTTCTTAAAAAAATAAAAAATAATGGGGAAATACATGGGGAGGTAATGCAAGGATCACAGTGACCCGCCCTGCACTACCCCTGTGTGCATCATGGTGTTTGCTGTTAGCACCTGACACGTCTGATTAGTTCCTAACTGAGAGCAAAAGGTTACTGAGGCTCAGAGAACGCGGCTGCTGTGTGATGCCCTGAATGCTGATGAGCATTCACACACTTTGCATTTGTGTTTTACTACTGCTTTCATGTGAAGCTTTGTTTTCCTAGATGCTAATTTATTAGCAGGTAAATTGCAGCTTGCATATTAAAAGACCTGCCAAATATCACTCGGGGGCCAAAAGAGTCTCTGATGGAATTGCAAAGTCTCTCTTTTTTTTTCTTCAGAAAAGCTGTCTTATGAAGTCTTTCTAATTTTTCTCT